CGTTGCGGTGGTGCCGGCGGCGGCTCCTCACCGCGGCGACCTCGGTTCTCCGCGGCCGCGGCGGGACGTGCGCGCGCGCGCGCGTGCGTGCGATCCTTCCGCGGCGCCGACACGGAGGGTCTCGGCAGGGCGGGGGGACAGAGGCGGGGGCGCGGAGGGATACCGCTCCGGGACAATCACGGCCGCCACGTGCGGGAGGCGCGGCTGGGCGCAGCCGCCGGGCGTCGGGGGTGGCGGAGCGTCAGGCCGGCCCGAGGAGAGGGCGTCTCCTGCGTCGCACTAGGCACCCTAGGGACAGCGGTGAAGCCACGGAGTCCTCGCGGCTGGGCCGTGATGCGCTTCTCTTCTGCGCCCGTTGGTCGGGATGTGGAATCTTGAAACTCGGTGTCGGATTGCAGAGTTGCCCTGGTGACGGGATACGGAGCGTTCACTCTTTGTGGTGGGGGCAGCTGGTGGCAGGGTGCCCACGCTCACCTCAGGCGTCCCCAGTGGGACCCTCCTTGCTGCGGCACTCCTGCCCTCCGTCATAAAAGCATCCCAGCGGCGCACTCCGGCGACCTGCAATCACAGCAGCTGTCCTTGCTCTCAAGGATGTTGCTGAGCTTTGACCATCTGTAATTGTCGCCTCATTTGGATACCAGGGGACTCGCATTCTGTGCATTCTCTGCCAGGAAGAGCCCCTTAATGTTGCTAATCGCGTGTGTGGCTAAATTGCTCGTAAATTCCGAGCAAAACCAATAGTGGCCTATGTTGATTATTTGTTAATAAAATTGGAAAAGTTACTGGTGAGTCGAAGAAATCGCTGAAAATTCAAAGAATAAAAATCTAGGAAAGGATTCACTAAATGGGCACAACAACATTTCTGGTCTCTAAGGCTAAAAAAAATTTTGGAACTCAGATCTGGGAAAGGCTTGTATTTACAAGGTGAAGGGTGGGTAGAGTCCCCGTGAACCGTGCTGTCTTTAGTAACCTCTGGGGGACCTCCCATAACAACGACTTCAATTTTAAGTTAACGAAAACGATCTGCCAACGAAGGGAAAGAAGAGAGGGCCGAAATGTTGAAAAGTTGACTTTCAACTTTAAAGTTACCGTGCGAGGTCACAACTTGTAGGAGCGTTATAGAGATGTAGCTCTCTGGGGTAGGGGACAGGAAGGTTGCTAAACAGTCTACATCATTGGTTCTGAAGTTTTATATTTCTTCTGCTGTTTCCTTTGGGAAAAAAAGAAAGTTTAGCGACTGCAGGAAATAAACAATACATTAGGAGAACCTCCAAGTCAGGGACCTATCAGATTGGGACAATGTATTTTCTCATGTTCTGAAAACACAGATTACCTACCTATGTAGTATGAAATGGAAGCCAAAAATTGTTTCATTTTTGCAAGTGTGCCTCCCACCTGATCTAGTTACACTTACTTGTTTACCACTCCACCTTTTTGTGGTGATTGTTGATGCTTTTAATCCTTCAGTCTTAGAAGTGTATCACCTTAAAAGTTAATGAGAGTGCTGATAACACGGATATGCCCACTTTGTGAGAATTCATCAAGCCGTCCATTTATGATTTGTGCCCTTCACTGTATGTATGTTACTCAATAAGTTTAAACAATGAACATAAAAGGTAATGATAGAAGAGATAAAGTGATCATAACTTAAAGTATATTGAAATCGAGTTTCGTTTATTAATCTCTTTAGTGTTTTTATTGAAACATAATTGATTATACATATTTGTGGAGTACAAAATTGAATATCAATAACTGTGTACAATATGTGATGATCAAATCAGGTTAACTGGTAATTCATCATTACAAAATGTGATCATTCTTTGTGACCATTAACCTATTTCTCACTAAACCCTCTTCTTCTCCCCCATCTCTAGTAACCACAATTCTGTCCTCTCCTTTTGAAACTTCAACGTATTATTGTAATCTTTCTTTTTCTTTCTTTCTTTCCTTCTTTCCTTCCTTCCTTCCTTCCTTCCCTTTCCTTTCTTTCGTTTTTTTAGCACCCACTTATGAGTGAGGATATGTGGTATTTCTCTTTCTGTGCCTGGCTCATTTCACTTAACATAATTTTCTCCAAGCTCGTGCATGTTACCACAAATGGCAGAATTTCGTTCTTTTTATGGCTGAGTAGTATTCCATTGTGTATATATACCACATTATCCTTATCTGATTCCATATGTTGGCTATTGAAAATAGAGCTGTGATAGTGCAGGGATCCCTCTGACATGATGACTTGCGTTCCTTTGGGTATACACCCAGTAGTGGGATTGCTGGACTGTATGACAGTTCTACCTGTAGTTTGAGAAACTTACACACTGTTTTCTGTAATGGCTATAGTAATTTACAGTCTCACCAAAAGAGTAGAAAAGATTCCCCTTTCTCCGCATCCTGGCCAGTATTTGTCATTCTCAGTCTTTTTGATAATCGCCAGTTTAAGTGAGGTGAGATAATAGCTTGATGTGGTTCTGGTTTTCATTTCCCTGATGCTGAGTGATGTTGAGCATTTTTTCATGTACCTGTTGGCCATTTGTATGTCTTCCTTTGAAAAATGTCTATTTGGCGCCTTTGCCCATTTTTTAATTGGATTATTTGATTTTTTTACTGGTGAATTGTTTGAATTTCTTGTATATTCCGGATATTAATCCCTTGTTGGATGTATAGTTTGCAAATATTTTCTCCCATTCTGTAGGGTTTTTTTTCCACTCTGTTGATTGTTTCCTTTGCTGTGCAGAAGCTTTTTAGTTTCGTTTAACCCCATTTGTTTATTTGTCATTTTTGTTGCCTGTGCTTTTGAGCTCTTATTCATGACGTCTTTTCCCAGTCCTACATCCTGTAGTGTTTTCGCTATGTTTTCTTCTAGGAGTTTTATAGTTTTACGTATTCTAAGTCTTTAATCCATTTTGAGTTGATTTTGGTAAATGGCAAGAGGTACAGGTCTAGTTTCATTCTTCTACAGGTAGATAACTAGTTTTCCCAGCACCATTTACTGAAGAGACTGTCCTTTCCCCAATGTATGTTCTGTTTTCAGAACTATGATAAAGTAATCCTGTGCCTGTTTTCTTTAAAGCCAGGTTCCTAGTGTCTTGCCTTATTGTTTATATTTCATCTAAATATTGCTTAAAGTAAATGTTTCAAAAAGTAGAAGTAGAATGCTGAGTTTTAGGAATAAAAATATAAGTTAAGTCCAAAGGAGTATCAATATGAGAAAAACTGGCATTTTTCTCTACTTTTTTCAGGGTAACTGATCCCTAGAGTAATAGTAGCAGTGCTTGGGCAGAAGTGTAGAAACGTTGTGGTTCTGTTGTTGACACAAATATCCAGAATCATGTACAGTCATGTAACAATCAGTAGCACATTTAAATTTGGAGTGCATTATTATGCATTCTTTCCAAAATTCTTTTATTTAGTAAAATAGTACCTGTGGTACACCACACACACACACACACACACACACACACACACACGTATGTTTGTTTTGTTTTGCGGCTGGCCAGTGTGGGGAATAAACCATATTCTTTAATGTATAAGACAAGTATTGCCTGAGCCATTTAAGTTGAGGAAGAAATCACTTGATATTTTAGCAAAACACAAACAAGAAGTTATCATTAAAGTGTACTCAACCTGGTAAACTATAGACTATAATTACCCCCCAAATATAATAAAACCATAATTAACTAAACCCACATAAGCCCTCAATTATCTAAAATTTTCACCTCCACACTTAATTTTAGGAAAAAGTGTGTTAATTATAAAAACACTATCACGACAATCAGGAAAGTTTAGAAAATGGAGAAAAAATCACCTTTCATCCCACAAGCTGATACAAATGTTATCTTTTGAATTTATTCACTCATAGTTTTATTTATGATTTCTGCAGTAGAGAACTAGGAGTAGTTATAATTCTTCATTTGTCCATTTCATGCCAAAATTCTATGAAATTTTTTTTTTATATTTTGGGGCTATTTAATTAGGAAAATAGAAGTTTAAATTGCTATATTTTCCTTCTGATAAATTTAGCCTTTACCATTAAGTAGTGTCATTATGTATTTATCACCAATACTGCTTTTTTTGTCTTTAAATCTATTTTGTCAAATATTAAGGTAATTATCCTAGCTCTCTTTTTTTTTTTTTTTTTTTTTTTTTTTTTTTTTTGTCTTTTTCTGTGTCCGGCAACGAATCGCAACCCTCAGTGTCGCCCCCGTACCGGACCGGGACCGGCAACGGGATCGCAACCCTCGGTGTTGCCCCCGCGCCTCGCTCAGCCAGTGAGCGGGAACCGGTCCGTATGTGGGATCCGAACCCTCGGCGGGAGCGCAACCGCGCTTCCCAAGCGGCGCACTAGCGCAGTGCGCCACCGGGCCGGCCCCCTAGCTCTCTTTTTATTGGTATCTACCTGATATGTCTTTTTCTCTCCCCAACCTCTCTTTCTCTATCCTTAAATTTTATATGTGTCTCTTATAAACTTCACATAGCTGGATTTTGGCTCTTTATCTAATATGGCAAGATATCCTTAAATTAGCAAGTTTATTCCATTTATATTTATTATAATTATTTACATATAATTGAACTTGTTTGAATGAATTTTATTAGTCCATTTTTTTCTGTGCTTTTTTCTTCTTCCTTACATTTTTTTTTTAGTGTGTGTGTGTGGGGGGGGGGTTTATTCTTCCACTTCTTTTCATTCATTTGGAATTTATATGATCAATTTCTCTTTTAGTGTTACCATTAAAACTGTAACTTACATATTTAATTCAACAAAGCTTTAGATTTAATAATATCTTAGACCCTCTCTTCAGGCAATCCAAGGACCTTAGAACACTTTAAATGTGGTCACCCCCTCCAGATTATTTTACAAAGATGTTTATTTATATATATGTATATATATTTGCTATTTCATTTTCTTACCATTCCTTTCATATCTCAGACCATCATTCTATGATCATTGTCCTTCTTCCTAAAGTATATCTTGTAGAAGTTCCTTTAATGGAGATCTTTTTTTTTTTTCCTTTAAATTTTTATTTTGTCGATATACAATGTGGTTGATTATTATGGCCCATTACCGAAACCTCCCTCCCTCCACCCTCTCCTCCCTCCCACCCAACAATGTCCTTTCCCTTTGCTTGTCGTAACAACTTCAAAAAATTGTAGTTGTTATATCTTCTTCCCCGCCTCCCCGGTTTTTTGGTGTGTGTTTGTGAGTGAATTTCTTTATTTATTTTTAGCTCCCACAAATAAGTGAGAACATGTGGTATTTCTTTTTCTATGCCTGACTCGTTTCACTTAATATAATTCTCTCAAGGTCCATCCATGTTGTTGCAAATGGCAGTATTTCATTCGTTTTTATAGCTGAGTAGTATTCCATTGTGTAGATATACCACATTTTCCGTATCCACTCATCCGATGATGGACATTTGGGCTGATTCCAGCTCTTGGCTATTGTGAAGAGTGCTGCAATGAACATTGGGAAACAAGTATACCTTCGACTTGATGATTTCCATTCCTTTGGATATATTCCCAGCAGTGAAATA